CATGACCTGGACCTATGCAGAAAGCAGCAAGAGCAAAGGATTCTGACACCTAGAAATTTGCAACAACCAGCCACACCCCCTCCCCCTTTTTAGTATAAAAGGAGCCTGAATTCTGACTTGGGTAGTTCTTTAAGGCATTAGTCTTCCTTCTTCTTCTTCTTTTTTCTTTAAAGTGGAGGAGGTAATGAGGTTTATTTATTTAAGTGGAGGTACTGGGGATTGAACCCAGGACTTCGTGCATGCTAGGCAAGCGCTCCACCACTGAGCTGTCCTCTCCCCCTTTGTCTCCCATCTTCTAAGTCTGCTGGCTTTCCAAATAAAATCGTTATTCCTTGCCCCAACACCTCGTTTCCAGATTTATTGACCTGTTGTGGGACGAGCAAATGAGTTTGGACTCAGTAACTGCCAGTTCTCTCCCTAGCAGGTTAAAGATGAACTCACAGCCTCCCGGGACCTAAGCGAGCATTGCTGGAGAGGGTGGCAGAGATGTGCACCTGGGGAGATGAAGGGGCTGCAGACCAGCCAAGGGATCCAGAGGGACGTCTGCAGAGAATGACGGGAGAATCTGTGGTAGAAACTCATAGTTGGGCATTTGGGAACATGACTGGGGGACGTACGGCAGAAGGAGCGATTCTCCTGAAGAGATGAGTAAGGGATGGGCAAGGGGAGCTCAGACTGTGGACCTGTGGAGATCAGTGAGGGCCACCCTAGCAGAGGAGATCCAGAATTAGGCAGTGAGGACTCCGTCTTCAAAATGGGGACCCCCAAGCCACTGCTCTGGCTCCCCAAACCCAAGCCAGCCCTTCACAGAGTCAAACCAGTTGGGACAGAAGGGCCCATGGCCCTGCCCTGATTTGTAGGCTCTGCCCACCCCAGCATGAGTGAGCAGACCCCTCACCTGTCCCCCAACTCTGAGTCATCTTTGATGAAGGCTTCTCACCTTCATCCCCAGAATACCCCCAGCATCTAGATACACAGGCTTCCCTGGGGACCCATGGAACCCCGGGGGCAGGGGCTGGTATCTAAACCTGGTCACCCAAGAGGGAGCGGGTGGCTCAGACCTGTCTCCCGAGATGCCCCAGTCATGGTCTGGGTCCCAGGTTTGCCCCCTTGCGCAGATTCACAGCCCTCCTGTCTCCTTTGAGGATTAAAACCAGAGACTGGCATGTGGGCCACTGGTGCAGGAATTCCAGGACCGTTTAGGAGGATAATGAAGAAGCATTTGTTAGTATTTTACTGGTATTTGATTATTTAATTTTTTTAAAACAGATTTGTGAACGAAATGAAAGCACTCATTTTTGGCTTGTATTGTTTGTCTTATGAGGGGGAGGTAATTAGGTTTCCTCACTGATTTCCGCTTGGAGGAGGTACTGGGGATTGAACCCCTGACCTCTTGGGTGCTGAGCATGTGCTCTACCACTTGAGCTATACCTCTCCCCCTATTATTTTTGATTTATATTGAAAAAAGCATGCCATCGCCACGTGATAACCCACTGTTCCATCATTATTACTGTTAAAATCAAGGCTAAGTTGAAGAAAAGGAGAGCGAAGAAAGAGAATGGGAAAGAGTTGATCTAAATAATAATATAAATGGTCCCAGTGTATTTGTTCCTGGTCTGTCTCTCCTGAAGGCAGCCCCACAAGGCAGGGATTTTTATCTGTTTTGTCTCCAGCTCTGTCCCCAGTGCTTAGACACCTAATAGGTGCTCAATAAATATTAGTTGACTAAATCAATGAAAGAAAGAATGAATGAATGGTAAAAATTAAGGAAGCTATATTCAAACATCTAGATTTGGGGCAATACTGAAGTAACATGCATAAAGCTCTCAGCAATGCCCAGCACATACGAAAGTCTCAAAAAATCATAAATATGCTATTATTCTAAAAATCATTACTTCTTAGAAGTACAACAAGGAGGTATTCTTGCCAAATGCTGACTAGCTGAGTATTATTATCAAGATACGCCCAGAGCTGAATATCATCATATTATCACTTCTGAGACATAAAAAAATCTGAAAATGTATTTAAAAATGTATTACTGTCACAATTTTATTGTGTACAATGGTAGCAGGTGAATCTTCCAGGTTGAACGCTTTAGTGAGGGATAATTTCTCCCCTTTGTTGGCAGCCAGCATGCTTCTACAGTCAGTAAGCTGAATTTTTTGCCTAACCTCCCACCGTGAAGAAGGGTCTGTCTCTGTTTCCTCTCCTTGAGTATGGGCAAGTTTGTAATTGCTTTAACTGACAGAGTAGAAGAGAAGTGAGGCCGGGGTGTACAGGGCAGCATTTGCTGGAATGCTCACTCTGGAGCCCCAAGCTGCGTGAGAAGTCCACATGTCCCAGGCCCAAGTCCCTTGAACAGACAAAGCAAGGGTGGTCCCAGCTGAGCCTGGCCTCTGGGCTGTTCCAGCCCAGGCACCAGACGTGGGGGTAAGGAAACCCTGTACACCAAATCACTCCACCCTTTAGGACTTCTAGCTGAGGACCTGGACATCGCAGAGCAAGACAAGCTGTCCCTGCTGCCCGCCACCCCCCACCCCCGACACTGCAATGCAATTTTCTGAGCATAATAAAACACTTGCTATTTTACGGCACACAGTTTGCGGTGGTCTGTTACGCGGCAGCAGAACTGGGACAGCTGCTCACTAAGAACTGCAGCATTTAAATAGTGTTACTTTTTCTGCAGACACCAAACTCTATTCTCGACTGACAGCACTATTTGAACGTTCACAATAATTATCTCTGAATACAGAATTCATGGCCATCACAATCATGGTTAATTACGGTGGCAATTTACTTGCAGAGTAACTCCGATGGAAAAATCATTGTACGTTTCTCCTTCAGCTTGACTGGGAGAATGCCAACTTGTAAACCACATATGGAGCTTTCCATTCCCAGTTACATCCAGAAGGCTTTCTACATTGGAAAGTGAATATTCAGATATAAACACTCGCCAACAAGTAATGCAAAGCCTTACTTGTATTCCTGAGGGGGTTAAATCAATTAGATAAAATGGGCCAAATACTTCTGGCGTGGGGGTGCGTGGCAATGATACGGAAGAAAGAGTTTTGCTATTGGGCCTTTCTGAAGATGGAGATCTGAGCAGAGCTTCAAAGCAACCCTGTGATTGTTATTGTTATTAGAATATCTGCGTGCCTCCGTGGGGTGGGTGGCAAGGTCGGTGGGAGCAGGAGAAACTGAGACTCACTGATCCCTGGCAAACGAAGGAGATGTGAATCACAGTCTCCCCACCCCGCTTCCTGCTCCAAGAGCAATAATGCGGGCAGAACCCAGAGTGGCACCCTGGTTAACATCTTCCCAGTGGACCCTCTGTGGACTTTTAATGTCCAAACTTCCACCAGATTCTCAAATCTGGCTGCATACCCTCAGGTCTCCCAGGGCTGGACCATGCCCTTTTTAGTCCCACACAGAGCAGTGTTGTTTCTACTCAGACTGGTCCCCTCCCTGCCAGGGTGAGCTGTGTCCCCTCAGATCCCCAGGAAATTGTCACATCTACTCAGAATCCCCAAGGATTCCATGTTCTCTCTGAGTCCCCAAACTTCATAAAGCACACCTATAGTACATTTTCCAGCTGACAATAGCAAAAGGGAATTTAGTCCTTTCCCTGTAACTCAATACATTTCTAGCAATACATTTCTATGAGTGAGTCAAGTCTCAAATTACATCTCCAATATGATGGGTAGGACAGAGCAGCCCCGTGCAGAAGTTTGGAAGAGCTGCATGGTGATGTGGGACCGGGATGCTCCTGACGGACAAAGCAATGGTGGGGATCAACTTTGCTAAGGATTTAGAACAGATGCTTGGAGCATTTTCCAAATGGAAAGTTGTACATTATTCAAAGGCGCTGCCCTGTGTCTATTTAACTTTTAGGAAATTGCTTGGGAGCTTGTAGTTGATGGGCAGTTGACATTGTAAATTTTTATTTTATCATTGAAACTCATGGGAGAGGGGTGGGTATAGCTCAGAGGTAGAGCACATGCCTAGCATGCACAAGGTCCTGGGTTCAATCCACGGTACCTCCATTAAGAAATAAATAAACCTAATTATCTCTCCCTCACTCCCCACCCCACTAAATAAAAAAAAGTTTTTAACAAAGTCATGGGAAACAGGCATATGGTGGGCGCTTTCCTGCAGAGCATCTGGTGTTCAGCAACACCTGGACAAGACTAGCCAGGAAACACCTTAATTTCTCACAGTTTAGGGGCAGAAGTGCCCCCTGGTGGCCATCAGGGGTCCCACAAGATCTGCATATGCTCCAGGGAAACGAGTCCCCAGAAGCTAGGACCTGATCTCCAGTCCAGATGAAGGAAGAGAAGAGGGTCTCAGGCTGTGCTCGGAGGGCTTGGTGCTTCTGTCTCATCCTATAAAGCCCTGTTTCCCGTTCTGATCTGCAGTGAATGTCTTTTTTTCTCACCGGGCATCTGTGCCCCTTTTTTTCTGGAAACAGCACCCTATTTTCCTTTGGGGAATCCCTCACACTCAATCAATACAGTTCTTGGGAATCAAATCTCCTCCCCACCCCATGCACAGGTGCACAGTGATTTGATGAGGGACGAGCATATGACCCAAATCTGCCGGTGAGAGCCAAGCCTGGGGCATTTTTGCTGTAGTTATTGGGAAAGAAGCATTCCTTTTCCCTGGGACTGCTTAGTCCATGGCACATAAGCCTAGAGTCTGGGTGGGTTGGTGGGACATCTCTATCTCTGGAGAGCTTGCTTAGAAATAAAGCTGACACAGAGAAAAGCAGATTGAGAGAGGAAATGAGGTACAGTCCTGATGAAAAATATTTGAGCAGCTGGATCCAGCAGTACCTGAAACTGGATTCCAGTTAAGAGAACCAATTAAAATCTTTTCTTTTAAGCCAGTGGGAATTGGAGGATCACACTCCCTGTCTGATGTGTGCCAGGCCTGAATTGCTCTCTTCCCTCCCTTCAAAATGTCCTCATTGCTGCTTGTGTTTGCAAACTCAAGAGACCACATTAATCAAAACCATTTTTATTATTTAAAGAGCATCCTGTCATCAAGGCCACTAGATGGGGGTTCCCAGACGGCAGAACAGTATTTACATGGGGATCAGGAGGGTGAGGCTCGGGTGGTCCCAGGGCTGAGTGGGCCCGCCACTGTGGAAGAGAGGACCTTGAAGGGAGGGTATCCCTGGACCTGTGGGCTGGGCCCAAGAAGAAAAATGTTCCATCCCTGGCCCAGGGTGAACCCCATCATGTGGGGCTGGAGCCACTGAGATCCGCTCAGGCCCTGGAGGCATGTGCAGCGAGGAGAATCCACAGGTCAGAGCTGGGTCATCATGCCGCTAGCTTCGGAGTGAGTCTGGGGAAAGACAACTGGGGGCTTCTGAGGTCTGAGAGGCTTCCCCAGAAGTCCCACAACTGACTCTCTCCCCAGGAGCCCTTTGAAAGTGATCTGTTCCCTCTTATAGGCCTGAGCATAGGTTTCCAGAAAACCCTGCCTCCCCTCCCCCACCGAGAGTCCCAAACCATCCCGCCCTCTGGCTCCCTTCTGGGCCCAAATTTCACCTTTATGGCCTGGAAGATCCACTCCCGGAAGTCACTGACTTTGGTGTAGACGCCTGGCTTCTGGGCCAGGGCACAGCCAGTGCCCCAGCTCACAATGCCACACAGCCGCCAACGTGGCATCCGAGAGATGCTGTCCTCACACACGAAGGGGCCACCACTGTCGCCCTGGTGTGGGAAGGAAGGCCTGGCTGGAGATCAAGATGGCTGGCCGGGAGGCCCTCCTCGGGTGGCCGTGGGCTATGGTCACAGAGCCTTCTGGTCCTGAGACAGGGAGCCTGTCTGCCCACTGCCCTGTGTCTCCATCCCTGGAGAGGCTGGGGCCGGTGCTGCCCCCCGCAGTCCCTCACCTGGCAGGCATCGATGCCACCCTCAGGGTAGCCGGCACAGAACATCTTGGGCTTGATCTGGTTCCCGTAGAAGTCAGGGCCGTTGCAGACATCATTGCTGATTATGGGGACTCGGGCCTCCTGGAGTACCCCAGCCTGTTGGCCTGGGGGTGTGCAGGCAAGGCTGGCCGAAGCTGGGGAGCATGCACACTCCCCTTCCCTCCTGGTGGCCCCCGGGACTCCTCAGTGTCCCTACACCCTGGGGCCAAGAGGCATTCAACCAGCCCCACTGCCCGTCCCCAGCCCGGTTCAGACTCTCCCTAATGGTGTCTTGATGCGCAGAGGACCGGACTCACCATAGTACTGTGTGTTGCCCCAGCCAGTCACAGTGCAGATCTTGCCGTCCACCAGGGCCTGGCCGGCAGCTGGGAGGCACACGGGCTGGATGTATTCTGTGAGAGAGACCATGCTGGTCCAGGCCCTGCTGGCCTGCCCTTCCTGGGACACACCTCCGTCCAGCTGGCTCCAGTGCCTCATGCCCGCCCTTTCCTCTGTTATTTTACAACAACCACAGCAGCAGCTGCCTTCTACTGAGCGCTCACTATGTACTAGGTGCCCTCCTGGGTCACTTCCTCTACTATCCCATCAGCCCAGGGAGGCAGAGCCTATTACCACCCCCATTTAAAGAGGGGGACAAGGCCATGTCACTTATCCAGAGGCTCAGAAGGAGTCAATGACCAAGCCAGAATTTGAATCCAGGTTGGCCCAATTTCCAAGCCTGTGTTCTTAACGATGGCGCATGGAGCTGCCCTTGCCTAGAGGGTGCCTCTGTGAGAAATTTAAACAGGCACCTTATCTTGAGATACTGGACTTCCACCTGTCAAAAAATCATAAGAAATACACCAGTCTACCCTGGCCATGGTAAGAAGGGCGTCCCTGAGAGGTGATGTCCTTGTGCAGTGCACAACCCACACAAGAGGTCCTGGCAGCCCTGCCTGCAGGTGACAGCTCATGCAGGTGAAGCCTGAGCTCAGCGCTCTCAGTGGAAAATGGAAAAAATAATCATTTCCCCCCAGAAGGGTATCGTGACAAGTTGGTGAAGCATTGAATAGCATGCCTGGCTAATAGGAGATGCTCACATAACTAGTAACAGTGATAAACAACAATAGCAATGATTGTTGCGTTGGCATGGCTCTAGGCTCTTGACTCATATTCACCTTTTCGTTGTCTCAATAACCCTCAGAAGTCATTTAGCAGATGCGAGAAACTGAGGCATGGAGAGGGGAAGCCACGTGCCCAAGATCGCAGAGCTGGCAGGTACCTGACCCCAAAGCCTACGCTGTTCCCCCGCAGCCGTGTGTCTCAAACCCAGGCCACCCCCGCCCATCCACCTGTGCACCACGGATACTCCCCCACTTCAGTCTTCTTAACCCTCTCACTCCATTCACTAAAGAGAAGGGTTTGTTTTGTTTAAAAAAAAAAACATGTCTCACACTCTGAAATACAAAAGCAATTTCCATGGATCATTAAAAAGAAAATAACCATAAAAATAAGAATAATGCAAACCGCAAAATGGTACTGACTTCCCTGGCGGTGCAGCCTGGGGTTTACAGGCACGGATTCTAGCACCAGGCAGCCAGGGCTCAAATCTTTGCCTTTGCCAGTTGTGGAAACTGGGGGCACTGTTTACCTTCTTTGTGTGGGGACCCTTCCCCTTGTAAGAAAACAGGATCATAAGGGAACCCACCCTCCCTGGGTGGCTGTGACAACGAAATGGGTGCATGCTTGGGACAGGCTGAGAGCAGTGCCTGCACACAGGAGGCGTGTGTAAGTGGCAGTGTTCATCCCACCATCATTACTCTAGTATTCTTTCATCATCATTATCACTTATCAATAATCGTTATTATTTATTCTTATTACTCCTCCTCCTGTTCTCCTCCTCCATCGTAGCCTTCTGAAAGCTGAAGCCCACGGTCTGCTCTTATCTAAAAGGCACGTGTTGGTGAGGTGTTAAAGACACATCGGCACCCAGGTGAGCCTTGCTCATTGAAAGCAAGGAAACAAGTCAATGGTTTTTAGAGGGGTTTTAGATACAGGTAAGTGGCCTGCCTGGCAAGAGGAAGGTGCAGCCAGCAGCACAATTGATTTTAGGACATTTCATCACTCCCCTTTACCTATGACCTCTCAATGTCCCTATCCGCATGCCACCGCCAGCCCCGGAGAGGCACTAATCTACCTTCTGTCTCTACACATTTGCCTAGTCTGGACATTTCACACAGATGGAATCCCACATCCTGGTGGTGGCTTGGTGTCTGACTTCTTCCTTAGCACAATGCTTTCAACGGTCATCCATTGTGTATTATGAATCAGGACCTCATTCTTTTTCACGGCCTCATATGGTTCCATTGTATGGATCTAACACACTGTATTTATCCACGGGTCAGATGATGGACATCTGAGATGTTTCCATCTTTTGACTGTGAACGACTCTGCTGTGAGCATTGGGCACTAGTTTTTGTGTGGCTTGGTGTCTTCATTTCTCTGGGGTATGCACCTAGGGGTGGAACTGCTGGGCCAAATGGTACTCCGTGTTTCACTATTTGAGGAATCGCCATGTGGTTTTTCCAAAGTGGCCGCACCAAATTGTTCCTGTCTAGTGAATGCGCAATTTGTGCTCCTCAAGATCATCTTCCTAATCACATGGATTCCTACTGCCTAGCCCCTTCTCTGTCCTCCCGGCCCCTGGAGTCCCCAGGCCAGGGATCCCACCCCGACTTACCTGTGAGGGGCAGGGCACTGGAGAGGTGGACCAGGGCGATATCATTGCTGTTCTCCTCACTGTTGGGGTCCCGAAAGGGGAGGTAGCCCCCATGATAGATCACTGCCTGCACCCCCAGTTGCAGGCCGTGGGGTGAGGTCTGGGCCACAGCACCGGCAAACACGCGCCATCGGGACAGGACCCGGTTCCGCCTACCAGGGATAGGAGGGGAGGGTGGCAGCTTGTCCGGGTACAGCTGCCCCCACCTCACCGTTCCCCTGCCTCCCCTCTCAGCAGTGTGGGAGACACTCACTCAGGGAAGCAGTGGGCGGCTGTCAGCACCCAGTCTCTGGAGAGCAGGGATCCCCCACAGAGGTGTGCTCCGTCATAGCGAAGACTGACTTGCCATGGCCACCTGCCCAGGCTGGTGTCCTGGCCTCCCACGATGCGATCAACGGGCAGCTTCCTGTGGCCACAGTCTGTGGGAGAAGGGGCAGTAGGGGGCAGTGGGAGGCCTGGACCCCCTGCCCCAAAGGGTCCAAGAGGACATGGCCCCACCCTGGGGTGGTCTGAGGAGACACAGCTCCATCCCTGGGGACCTGAGGGCACATGGCCCCACCCTGGGGGGCTCTTAGAAAACACAGCCCCATCTTTGGGGGACCTACGGGAACATGGCCTGGCCCTGGGAAGGGTCTCAGAAGAGGGCTTTGAGTTTCTCACCTAGGCAGTTGGCAGCCAGGAAACGGCCCCGGGGACAGTCGCTGTGAGAGAGGCAGGGATGGAGACACCGGAGGGGGGCAAAAGGCGGATGATCAGCCAATTAAGAGGGAGGAAAGGCACAAGGAGGGAGCGCGGTGCGGGTGCCCGGGGGCTGTGGGGCCC